AGATCGTGTAGATTAAATAACACCACTAGATCGTGTAGATTAAATAACACCACTAGATCGTGTAGATTAAATAACACCACTAGATCGTGTAGATTAAATAACACCACTAGATCGTGTAGATCAGATAACACCACTAGATCGTGTAGATCAGATAACACCACTAGATCGTGTAGATTAAATAACACCACTAGATCGTGTAGATCAGATAACACCACTAGATCGTGTAGATCAGATAACACCACTAGATCGTGTAGAACAGATAACACCACTAGATCGTGTAGATTAAATAACACCACTACATTGTGTAGATCAGATAACACCACTAGATCGTGTAGATCAGATAACACCAAATAAGCTGTTTTACGCCTTACTGTTGTGGAAAACATCTTATTGAGCACTTGACACACAGGCTGGCCTTGTAAGGTATGATTTTCAACAACTTGTACTCCGATATGGTGTCTAGTTGCGGCTGAGAACATCTGATTCACTCTCGAACAGGTATCCTACGATAGTGAATCTACAAATAGTGATTAACTGCTTTAGTTATCACTAGTTTATTAGCTTTTCTACATTTTTCTGGTGATACTTTGTGAGACTCACAGCAAATTCACAACACAGTTGTAATTGGCTGACTTCCATTTGTCTGATGGCTCTTCACGTGAATGAAACAACTAAATGATTTTTTCTTTAGATCAAACCATGTGTATAATTTTAAACTATGAGATTCATTTTACAGAGTTAAACTACAAGACAAAGCACAGGTTCGACGATCAATCATTTGCACATATCAGATCATATGATTGAGCATCTGATGCCTGATTTACATAACTGAGGGTGAGAGGAGATTTACATTATTTTAAAACATTATTTAACTTAATAATAGGTTTACAATTTCGATTGTTACTCAACTTTTTTATGCACTGTACAAATTTCAAAACCAATTTTTCGATATATTTCATATTTTCACCATTACGACTAAATGTTCACACTATCTGCCAAGATTGGAATACCAACACCAATAGAAGACCTAAACACTTCACAACCGCCTAGACTTCAAAAATATGTTATTTTGAAAGGTAAATAAGATGTGTGTCCTGATCTACACGATCTAGTGGTGTTATCTGATCTACACGATCTAGTGGTGTTATTTAATCTACACGATCTAGTGGTGTTATCTGTTCTACACGATCTAGTGGAATGGTGCCAAGATCACTTCCAGTGGGTGGTCCAAAGACCTGTGGAGCAACCTCAGTGGGTGGTCCAAAGACCTGTGGAGCAACCTTCTGTTTTGCAGATGCATATAGATTAATGGTACCATTTCCAGGAGTGTAGAGATTGATAAGTCCACCACACATCATACTGTACGTGTCACTTCCCAATAAGAAACTGGGGTTGTACCCGATTCAACTTCTTCTACATTCAGGTTGTAGGTCAAATTAGATTAATGGTACCATTTCATGGAATTTAGAAGTCGATAAACTCACCATAAACCCACCACATATCGACTTCTAAATTGATTGGGCATAACTGTTGTCATAGTTACAACGAATTTGTTACTGCAGTGATTCGTGGTAATTTCATGGTGCCGATTTCAAACATTTAGTCAGAATTTGTTCCCCACCTTTAGATTGTAGATAGTTATTGTAATATCTATTTATTTTATCAACTAAGTACAATAGACTTATCTGTGAAATTAAGTTTACTTGAGCAGTTTAATTGGTAAAATTCATACATTTTTGATAACTTCTAACATTGACTGTATTGTATTGGTTTAAAATCCAAATATATTGTTCATATATGCTATTTGTTTTCGATATAATTGTAGCGAATTGAACCACTTTTGCTTCATTCCCACGCTCACCTGCTCTCCCCGGGAATCACGAAACCCTCATGTGGTCAATTTGCTAGAAAATTCGAGAAGTCCCTCGATTGAGCATAAAAGTCAGACACCTCTCTCTCAGTTGCCTCTCACTCACTCAGTTGGTCACTTCGCCTCTGTGCCCAGTCAAAACAAAGTCAGATCTTCTTCCTCATATCATACCTACGATATAATCAAATTCTGCAAAACTTTCTATTTCAAAAATCTTTTAAACTCTAGTTCTGTAAACATAAATTATTTTATAATTTTCAGAAAATCATTTGAAATGCTGGCTGCCTCTAGTTCAAGTGAAGTCCGATAGTGCAAAAATCACCCAAACAGTTTCTGCTACATTTGTGGAAAATATATGATAGTTTCACGAGGGATAAACATCACATGGAAGGTAAAAGTAGTCTACTCCCGCTATTTTGAGTGTAAAATTGGTGACCAAGAAAAGCAATGGACTCCACATGTGTTTTGTATAGTTTACACATTTGGCTTGACACAGTGGCTGAATAAGAAGAGATCATCTGACTGACTGTTACTTTTGCACAACTAATGTTTCTGGATATTCAAGCAAAACCAAACAATACAATAAATATCCAGATACTGAATCTCCAATTAAACCAGTACTTCATTGGATGGTCTTCTAGTGTCACATCCACCAGGAAATTGGGAAACAGAAGAGTAAACCAGCCAAGAAGACGATGAATCACCTTCATCCTCTTCATCTAGTAATTATGTTCCTGCCTCATCTGATCACATAGAAAGAGCTAAATGATCTGATTCGTGATTTGTCTTTATCAAAACAGCATAGGGAACTTCTTGGCTCTCGTTTACAGCAATGGAATTTATGAGCTCCAGGAACAAGAGTTTAAATTTACTGAAGTCGCCATCAAAGTCTTGCTTCTCACTATAGCATGCAAGACATTTTGAGTTTCTGTACAAATGTTGAAACACTAATGGAAGAATTAGGTCACCTGCGAAATATTATATCAACCAAAAATAACATAATCACCTATATAAGGTTCTCTCAGCTGTCTTTCATGAGCCATTTTGGTACTGCTTTCAAGATTCAGAGTGTATTCACTCAACTTGATCACTACCATTGTCAAGAAACAATAGAGGGCGCGACGTCCAAAGTGGTGAATGCTAATGTTGCGCTTTCTGTAAGTTACGTGATCAGGAAAGATCTATTCTTTTCAAAGAATAAATGTCAACCATTTTATCACATCAGGGTCAAACGTCATTATTCATTAGGCTAAAGGTGGGGTTAACTGTATTAGCATATAGCAGAACAAACGGTCGTAGGATATGGTCTTTATAACGTGCGTGATTAATGGTACCATTTCATGGACCACAACCTTATCATAATTACGCAAAACAAGATCGTTATGAGCCATGCTGTAAAAACAAAACTGTAATGAAGTGGTGAGTAATACTGTATGATAAAAGAATGTTATAAATTGGTGAGTCATACTATACAAATAAGACTGTAATGAAGTGGTGAGTAATACTGTACAAACAAGACTGTTATGTAGTGGTGAGTAATACTGTTCAAACAAGACTGTTATGTAGTGGTGAGTAATACTGTACAAACAATACTGTAATGAAGTGGTGAGTAATACTGTACAAACAAGACTGTTATGTAGTGGTGAGTCATACTGTATAAAACAAGACTTTAATGAAGTGGTGAGTAATACTGTACAAACAAGACTGTTATGTAGTGGTGAGTAATACTGTTCAAACAAGACTGTTATGTAGTGGTGAGTCATACTGTATGAAACAAGACTTTAATGAAGTGGTGAGTAAGTAGTACGTGGGATATTCAACTTTAAAGATCGTACTCAGAACATTGTAGCTACGTAAACAATCACCACCACACAGGCCTATCTGTGAAACGTGGTTACCTGATCACCAGACTAGAAATGTCTGTTGTTAAACACAAAGCTACACAATGGGCTATCTATACTGTACCCACTACGGGTTTCGAAACTCAGTTTTTAGCTTTTTAGGACTTCAGATTTTCGCTGAGCTACTGGGAGTGCTCGAGAGGTTAATGACTGAATACGCACGTACGTGTTTCTGGTATTGCGTGCTGTGCACATGTAAATAACGTAATTAAAAACACGTGCTTGTTGTACTAGCCTTCGTGCAGAAACTGTTTCCATTATAATTCCAAATGATATATATATATGCGCATGCACTATTTAAACAAGAGAAATTCTGCGTTTTTAGCCAACGTTAAACATTTTTTGCTTATTCACGCGTGTCTCACGCAAATTATCATTTCACTTATATTTGAATGTTGTAGACAGGAATACATGATCTTACGAGATCACACACTTTAGTGTAACATTGGCAGGGATATTTACCATTTCTACCCATTACTTATCAGACTCAGAAGTCTCACGAATACTCTAAATATTACTGGATTACTTAGAACATTTGATCAGACTCAGAAGTCTCACGAATACTTTAAATATTACTGGATTACTTAGAACATTTGATCAGACTCAGAAGTCTCACGAATATTTTAAATATTACTGGATTACTTAGAACATTTGATCAGACTCAGAAGTCTCACGAATACTTTAAATATTACTGGATTATTTAGAACATTTGATCAGACTCAGAAGTCTCACGAATACTTTAAATATTACTGGATTATTTAGAACATTTGATCAGACTCAGAAGTCTCACGAA